GACGGGGTTTCGAAACCGCGACCCTCAGATTGCGAGTCGAGCGCCCTAACCACCTGGCCATGCTAGGTCCCATATCATATCGTTACAAGTTATGCCGTCACGTTCGGTCATGCTCCTTTTATTCAAAAGGATATGTTGTAAGGCTGGCAGTTTCAAATCACGCCACTCCTCTCTGCAAGCTTTCCACAATCCATCTAGTGTTTGAAGATGACGGTTTTTCAAAACCTGATCACACAGAAATTCAGAGGCGCCATGTCCGACAACTTTACCGATATATTTTCGTAAGGAATAGCATGAATAACTGTTTCATTCTTCAGCTGACTTAGGTATTAGACGTTTGAACTGGAAGTATGACTAGAAGTTTTATTTTAAACCCTTGTAACCTCATTCGCAATCAGAGATTCTTTTTTATTATGTTACGTTTTGTTTCTTGGGGCAACTATACTGCTTTGTTACAAGACGCCGCATTTTGCTTAAAATTGATCCATATTCCTTTGTTTTCCAACTCGTTGTAAATTCTAAATCCTCGATTTGAACGCATCTATGATCTGAATTTATGAATATTTTGCGTCAAAAGTGATTAATTTTTGTGGTATCACACTACCTACGTAACGCCAAATAATGTCAAATGTATGTCGTTCACTGGGACTTTATATAGGCTGTGGTTATCACGTGGCTTGCTGATTTGCATACTCAAAATCGTTTTTTATATAACGTTTTCAACCTTGTATTACAGGTATCAACCAAGCGGTTTAATTTATCTTCTTTATATTGTAGGTCATAAAAGATCAAGTTTCTTGCAAAAAGCAAAGTTCAAACCATTTTGAATTCACTTGCCTAGTTGGACTTCACTATCAGTTTTCACAGACATGAGAGATAATACAGAGAAGATCTGAGTGCTGTGTTTCTAAGAGATGTAACTATCAAGTTAAAATCAATCAACCGAGACAAATTCACTACTGGTAGTGTGTTCAAACTGAAAAAAAAACCACTATCTTCCCCAGTGTATACAAATAAATTATTAGTACTATTTCGTAAATTAGAAAGCAATATGAGAAATTGTACCTATTAATCCAGGTAACCCTAAAATAGACCATACACATCGTGGACGTTTATTATGGGGATTTTCTTCTATTTCAGAGGTGATCAACTTATCTTACAATAAATCATAACACATCGTGGACGTTTATTATGGGGATTTTCTTCTATTTCAGAGGTGATCAACTTATCTTACAATAAATCATAACAGATCGTGGACCAAGCTCCTTGGTCATGGAGATTTCTTCTCTTTCGGATATGGTCAACGTTTTTTACAATAAAAAATAGTCTTCGTTGTAAGTTAAAGAATAGAGAATAGTTTTGTTTTCATTCTTTACAATCCCCTAGCAGTTCAGCAGTAAGTTTATAGACTTATAAGCTAAAATCCGAAATTAGATTCCCCGCGATGCACAGTACGCAGATAATCTATTGTGCACCTTTGCACTAAAATTGATAAACAAACAGACAAACACTATTTTCATAAAATATTTTGTTTCATCTAAGCGTAAAGCTACACAATGAATTATCTGGATTTTGCTCCAAGCAGGAATCGAGCCCGAACTGTTCAGGGTTATGTGTTTTTAAGTTTACTAGTGAACAAAAGGATGACATCATCAAATATAAAAGTAGGTACACGGTAGAAGATTACTTTGTCACATAATTGAAGAATGTAGACAACGCGGCTTGTTTTTCCATACAGTCATTGTTTAATAAGCATAAAGTTGCTATATAAACACATTAACCTCAGAAACTAGAATATAGGTTAGTTTGCAACATAACCCTACATTATCAAGTAGAAGATATAGGTTAGTCTATCATAGAACACTGTATTGATACAAAATGGTAAAAAACCCTTTACTCGAGTACTTTCGAAAGGTGAACCTATCTTCTTCAGGGGCAAACCTTTTTTCTTTTCAAGCTTACTCCTGAAGAAGATAGATCCACCTTTTGAAAACACTCGAGTTATGGGGTTTTATCATTTTGCATCAAAACTTATTGAACCTACGTGTTTTTCTGACATCATGAATAGAAGACTATATTGTTAGTTTTGAATGTACTGGTTAATTTTAAACATACGTTGATAAGAAAAACATATATTTTACCTTTTTTATCATATAACTTTACATTAGTCGTTAAAAGACACGGGTTATCTTATTTTATTTTTATAACCTTATATTGTTTGATAGAAAGTGTGTTTGTTTATCATATACCCCTGTAGGGAGAACATTTAATTTATTTTTCTTAACATATGACTTTACATTAGTAGCTAGAAGACATGGGTTATCTTAACTTATAACCTTATATTGTTTGATAGAAGGTGTATTAGTTTATCATATACCTCGGTAAGAAGAACATTTAGATTATTTATACCAGTTTATACATTTATATTGATAAATAGATGACGCGGGGTACTCTATCTCATAGCTTTCTATTGTTTGTTAGAATTTGTGGGTTACTTTACCAAATTCTTTATTAAGAAGAACATGCGGGTTATGCAGATTGGTTTAACAGTGTAGTTAAATGCACGTGTTTTTATATCTGAACGTTAATTTTTCTCTCTCATTGTACTGTCGACTTTATAATATTTACTAAATTGTAGATCACAAGTATTAAGTTTTACTTGTAAATTGCATGTTTGCTGATATTTTATGAGTTATATAAAAACAACACAACTACACATCATCAACTGCTGTATAAGGAAAACATACCGTCAGGTTGTAAGGTTCTTTTCCTTTCTTTTATGTTACTTACAGAAAGGGACCACACGACTGCGTATAAAAATAACTTAACATAAATTTAAACGAGGATAACCAGATTAATTCAGCAGACTTGATGTTACAATTTACCACACAGTCAAGTAAAACTTACCTAAATTATAGAAAATAGCAAAGTTCCCATTGGATATAGTTAAATATTCATGCATTGTTTTCTTCGTTGTTAAAGCATAATAGAATAGACTATCTGCTTTTTTCTCACTACTGGGATCGGTCCCCGAATGTTGGGGTGAGAGACGGCTTGGTATTAGTTATGTTTTTATTTAAAATCACTATTAATGGAATTACAAGGCCACAATAATTTTGTAAGTTTATATCTTTGAAAAGAAAATACCTTAATATATAATGTGAACGTGAACATAAATTACCATAAAAGTATTATTGTATTTATTGTTAATTTATGATTGCTGTTTAACATTGTTGATTATGAAATGCATATGTCTGTAGCCTGTGAACTTTATGTGTTCAGTTTTTGACACAAGTCACTAAAACAACTAAGTCAGTAATACATTTTTTGTGAATCTACGATGTACGTGGTACGTCCTCATGTTCAGTGCTTTTAACCAAGTCAGGAATTACACATCCTATAAGTACAAGGATGTATGTGGCACATTTTCATATTTAGTGTTTTTAAATCAAATCAAGAATACACATCTTATGAATCAATAATTGTATGTGGTACATCCTGATGTTTAATGTTTTTTTTTTTTTTTACCA